TGATGGGCATTTCCAGCAATTTTGTCCACATTTTATCTGCCACAGTCCTACACCATTTACAATGTTAAAAGATATATATTTCAAAATGTTACACATTTAGTCTTGTCATATCAATAAAGTTGACTGGAATTTGTCTTGGTGAGATCACCCAAACACAGACAAGAGAAACAAATGACACAAATTTGAGATAAAATCACATCTAACAGCATGAAACACAGTTTTCAGTCTCTAAAGCTAGAAAAGGCCAACAAATATCCCTGTATCTGTTCAATGCAGGGAGACCAATATTATTTCCGAAGGTCCCATAGCTTCCGATTCAACTTACCTGTGATGGATTTGCAGACAAAGCCGAGCCGCTCATTGCACCGTGACAGGTGCCACACACCGTCACCCACGCTGGTAGTCACACAGGTATCTGCAGTCAGCAGCTTGGAGTCTGGGGCTTTATTAGGCCAGTTGGTGTAATCCATAGGCGAAGCATCCACCCAGGTCATAGAATCAGCTAAAGGCACAGAGGGCACAGTTTGATAAAAACGTGGGTTTGCAGGGAACTGGGATCATTTGATTGGTAGAGGGAGACTGACAGATTCTTACTGTCGATGTTGAAGTACATTCCCAACCACACGGTCTGGTGACGCAGGCCTGATGACCACAGCTGCTCCAGCACAAAACGGTTCTCTGTCTCGCTCTCAATGGTCAGGACATCTGACGTGTTGACTGGAAAGTGACAGCAGCACAACAAACTCACGACTGTGCAGTTTAAAGCAACAGTTTGGAAAATTACAAATGTTTATTTGGTTTGTTCTTTTGTTCTTTTTGATACCACTCTCTTGTTTTGACAGTCAATATAAAACCAGCTTTGCACAGAGATAGTAAAGGATTTTACTGTTTTTAATCAATTTCCTTCTGAGTAACAACTGAACCAGTTTTCTAAAACCGAATCCTATTCTGAGCAGTTCCTCCCTTTGACCTGTAGGGGGAGTAAGCATTCCATGTGGCAGCTAATTCTTAAATTTATTTTTTCATATCATCATATCATCGTCATCTAGACAAATTCAAAATAGAAAAAATGCATGTAATCAATGATTAAAATCACATCCTATGGACGCTTACCTTTCTGCCTGCAGTGCTCTCTCGACTCTTCAAATGTGAGTTTGTCCACCACAGGCTCAAAGTTGTAACAGGCGTGTCCAAATTTCACCCACGTGGATGGACACGCTCCCTCATAGGAGGTAAATGGTTTATTGCCTGTGAGAGGAGGAGAGAAAAGGCAGATTCTTGTATTTTAACAGAAATGTAATAGACGAACTGTCGAGACTTAGATTTTCCTGTTTCACTAAAGAGTCACTGACTCGGTGTGGAGACGTGACACAGGGCTCCTGGTAGCGGAGTTTCACAGTCTGCTCTCCGCCAGCCTCCGCTCACATCCATGTACACACACTCTCCCGTCACAAAGTCGTCATCGTCATCGGCTGCGTCCCAGTGGGTGTACACAGTGTCCCTGCCATCTGACCACTGGTAATTAATGCCACTCTGCAAGGAAGCACAGTCACAAGCACTTCAGTCAAGAAGTCCCAAGTTGTGGTGGCACTCTCCCTGTAACACTTCAGGTTTATTAATAATGCAGGCTAATGCAGCAGTGGATGTTAGTCTATGCATGCACAACAGTTTGCTTATTAGTTTGATTACAGCTAGAAAGAAATCATGTAAATTGAAACCTTTTCTCCTTTTCAGGGAATAACAAACTGATAAACTTAGTTTTCCTGCAGCAATGGAAATATTAAAACATTGAAAGTTAAATGAAAACAATTTCTACAAGTGTCCCAGCTTTTGTTTATGACTAATAATACATCGGTTCTCTCACTCCCTGTTCATCTCTCCCTATGACTAACACTTCCCATTAGGGCTCGTGATACATGAATCTGACTTTCAGAAACCACATGCCTGTGGATGGAGTGCCAGGAGAAAGGAAATCCTAGAGGCACATGAGACAACTAGCTGGCCATCAACAGGCAACGATAGAAAAAATAAACAAAAAAAACCATGAGGATGGTCTTTTAAAGAATCTTTTAGAACATTTTTTCAAAATTTTCTTTATATTTAAGACCTGCTTAAATATTTTCCTTTAGTAAGATTTAGTTCCAAGCTATTTTCTTCGATCCAGAACGCTTCTGTGTAAACACATTAATTCATTGATTCATTATTATTAAAAATCTTAAAACATTTTAAGAATAGGCGACAGTCTTGTGTCGAGGTACAGCAGAGCAACAGAGCACAAAAACTGAGGTATTCAATCGTATGTTATAATTTTTTTCCTGGGTCATGTGTTTAGCTCAGTGTGACACAGGAAACTGACGGCCAGGTTGACAGGGTTAAGATGATGTGTGACATTTGTCATGCACAGACCATGCTTTCATTAAAGAAAAACAAAAAGTATTAAACTACCAGTTTAAAATCCAACTCATGCAAGCAGATGAGTTTTTTCTGCAATTCATGCTCAATGACCAGAATTAAAGAAATCGTTTTTTGGCAAATACACATTCTTGATTTCTTGCTGAAAGTTACGCAACAACACCACTCTCATGTTCTCCTACAGCCAGGGGCATAGCATATCTTAATTCACCAAGGCTTATCCAAGCCTATCTTGGTCTAGCGTAAACTATATCTACTTAATTTAGGATAAACATCTACATTTTGCTGTCGTATTCAATAGGAGAGGTATGTGAGATTTTGGTCGTACACATGTCTATATATTTTAGCCTCTCGTCTACTCGCTAGCATAATTATTATTGTATGCCAACATGTTTCTGTTGTTTTTGTATAGTGTTGTTGTTTTGTATCCTCAACCTATTCACGTGGGCCTTATGACTGCATGCTATGTTGAACTGTGTACTATGTTTTGAGTACTTAATATGTTGATGAATTGAAAATAAAGTTGGATTTGACAAGGATATCAACTCCAAAGATTTTCATTACATTTTGTCAAATCACACAACGCTACATGACAATGAGACTATTAGACAACTGTCCCCAGTCAAGTAAAAGTCCAGCAGATAACTTCCACTACAATATGATGGTTTTTGGTTTTAGTGATAAACTTTTTAAAATTAGAGAAGAAATAACATATTAATTATATTTGTTGATTGATTGTGAGCAGATTTTTTTTAACCTCTGGGCAGAGCCATGCTAGTTTCCAAATTTTTTGTCATTATGCTAAGCTAAGCTGTGGCTCTGTATTTACTATCCAGACATGAGAGTGGTATCGATTGTACACGTGGTTAAAAAAAAGTAAATGAGTGTATTTCCCAAAATGTCAAACTATTTCTTTAAAAACAAACTGTATTACATCAAACACACACAACATCACATCTCTGGTGCAAACAAACACATGGTGCAGAATCATACAGTACATACTGCACGAGAGGATACATACGTCTTGACTATACAGTCCAATCCAGTGGGGGACTGCCAATCTATTGACAAGGACAGTAAGGAAAGCCTGGTGGTAGGCATCTGTAATGCTCACAAGGTCAGAATCATTGTCTATGCACAAGTGCATGGCGTCGTACCAGCTCATGTTGCCAGACACAACCTTGTAGTTGCGGGTCCTGTACTCAATATTATCAGGGAGAGGGTGGTGATAGGAGTGGGTGGGGGGTTTGGATGTATCTGTATCAAAACAAGAAAGGGGAGAGGTGAGACAGTGATAAGTCACAATAGGCAAACCCAGGTTTCATACATCAGGTTGAAACACAGTGAGATAGTCGGTACACTGTCCTATCAGAATGCAGATAATGTGGCATTTACAATGAAATTGTACAAAAAGGAAAAAAATAACTAAGCAATATTTGGCATAATTGTACTGTGGTTAATACTCCATCATCCACACTATGACAGGAAGGCCTCTGGTTAGTGCCACAGCCACTTGGCCAGAAGTGCATCCGTCATGATGTGCGTTGTTGCAGAATCAGGTCCAGCAAGTTCAAGAGTAAACTGTGGATCAGTTAAAAAGACTAAGACGTAATTAAAAAGAGAGTTTATCTCCAATATGAAGAATTCTAAACAGAGTTTGTTGGATTTGTTACAGCAGCAGCTCCTCTGGTTCATGAAGCTGGGGATCATGGATAATATCTGCCATTTAGTTGTGAGTGGGACAACACAGTCAGAGCTCTGTTCAAGGGATTGATAGGCTTTGTTTTTTTTCCTACGTAAAAACCCACACCATCTCTCGGACACAGTCCAACAGAATAATAGTCACCATGTGTGACTGCAGAGGGCGCTGTTGCTCTGTAAATGTTTGATAGTGTTGCTTTAATTGTCTTAAATTTCTCACTGTCTCACTGAAAACAAACACCGGTCAGGACTCAAGATTCCACTTCAAGGTTCTTTTTACGACTTGCAGAGAGAAAAGGAGAAGTCACAGAAGAAGCATAAGAAAGACCATTCAGCATCAGAGGGCGGGAGCGGAAGAGAAAGCTGGCAGCAAGAGGAGAAAAGCAGATGTGCTGAAAACCCCCAGAGAGGCAATAAAAGACAGATAATGACGGAGCAAAACCAAAGACAGAATAACGAACAGGATCTTACCTTGAGGTTTTTGACAGACAAAGCCATACCCAGTCTCACTGCACTTCTCATCGTACCACTTTCCCGTCAGGTGGAAGTTGTGGTTGTTTGACAGAACAATGCACAACGGCTCTTTAGTGAATCCACTGAGCCACTCACCCTCCTGGGAGTGAACATGTAACAGATCAATACACAGATACACACGAACCCATTTTATGAACACATGTTGTCTCAGCTCATTGATGTAAACACGTCAGGATATGTTTGGTGATTGCACAGATTGTTAAAAACAAGTCTTAGAGGACTTGGAAGAGTTATTTTTTCATGTGAGTCTGATTTTAATTAGTTACTTGATACTACAAAAACAGGGAAACATCATGATTCTCTACCAAGCGCAAGATGGCAGCGTTATTTTGTGTATTTTTTTTTAAACATTTCTGGATAGTGGGAGGAAGGAACGATAAGACAAAACAATAAGTACATATCCAACAGTCAGGTCAGTTCACAGGAGCTTACAGTGAGAAAGCTTTTTGGTTCAACTGGAGACCAGTTGGTGTAGCTGACTGATTTCCCATTGGTCCACCTCATGATGTCTCCATCACCGAGACCAATCCACACGCCGACAGAGCTGCCCTGCATCAGCATGGTGATGAAGGCTGCAGAAATGTTGGTGGAAAGGAAAATGGACAATTTTACATTCATTTTAAGTTTTTACAACAATAATAATTTTACAATGTGATCTTGTGGGGTGTACTGTTAACTCAGTCACTACCTTGTTCTATCTCATCTTCTATAGCGACCAGTGAGCCTTGGAAAGAGGAGCAGATGGACTGGGCATCTTTCCAACTCTTTCCCTCCTTTGGACTGTCAGGCAGGTGAAGTAAGAGACACTGTCAACACACACATTAAATTATTTATTTCATTATTATTTACCTCTCACGGCCAGAACTCGTCTAATAGGTGCATTCACTTCTTTACTCTGCATACAGCTCATAAAGGTGGTTGATAACAGTATATGCTTTAAAAAAAAAAACAGACTGGGGGTTTTAGGCATCAACCTTGAACCACAGACAGGAAACTTTGTTTTATGTTGTTCTCATCTCTGTCACTTCCCTCTTTTCCTGTCAGCGCTCTAGTAAAGACATTAAAAAAAGGACATCAATCCATATTTTATGTTCAAGGAGAAGAAGGACGCACATCGCTGCAAGGCTTTAAATTCTGTTTAATATGCTGAACAATGATAGTCGTCCTAAAGACCAAATCTATTTGAAGGCAGAGGCTCTGATCTGGTGCAGCAGAGTAATTAATGAATGAATGTCCATATTACTATTAAGATGCTTCAATATTTTTGATTAACTTTCTACCTGATGATCTGAATTATTGGGAAATGTGTTGCTACTGAAGAAAAAATAAACCTTTGACAAATATGATTTTTTATAAATATTTTTTCCCATCATACCTGATATGAACTAAGAACGTCATGGGCACAGGTGGGGTAAGATGTACCTTAAACTGTAGGTGAGTTAAATGGAGGTTAAGAATATATCTAATATGCCAAATTAATGTTATTTTAAATACTTAGTGGATCACACTATTACGCTCATCTTGGCATATTATTGGATATTTACTGTATTCTTATGTATGAATATATATGCACATATTTGATATTCTGATAAATTTGTATTTTTTCATTCATATCAGATTGTGTGAATATACATGCATGAATATATTATACACATATTTGTAGATTTTTTTTATTAAATTATAATTATATAATTTATTGATTCGCTAATAAAAGATTTGTCATAAAAAAATCCTATCAACCAATATTGTATGTTAATGGAAAAAAATCGACATAACTTAAACGCTGTAGTTATAATATATGTAAATTACACGTTGAGCTCTAATGCTTGATGATTTAAGAAAAGATCGTCTGGTTTTGGTTTTAACTGAGGTCAGTTGGGGTTTTTCACTCTAGCAACATTGTATGTAAAGATAAACATCCTGCTTCAGTCCCGGAAGGGGTTGTGACTAATTTAGACCTGATCTGTGGTGAGGATGCAGTGAAATGAAACTCTCACTTTGCTTTAACTCCCCATTTTGCATTTCTTCGCATGATATGAACTTAAAAATGGTTTATCACACAGTATAATGTAGCTGTGAGAAGATATAAACACATTTGTGTTTAATAATGTACTTTATTTGTCTGCTAAATAAATATTTGATGTCACAGGAAGTGTCAATTACTACATTGTAATTCAAAGACTAGAATCCCACACCTGCGGCCTGCACCCATTGGACGGTACTAGCTGTCAATCACATGGTATCCTCCTCAATGCATACTTTACTTTTTCGCCTATTTGACTGTAAATGGGAACATCATTTACAAAATGAACATCATGCTGTATTGAAGACAATTTGAAACTAGAGATTAAAACTATAAACTCCTTTGGATAATGTTTAATGATGTTATATATCCAGTGAGAAGTACAGTCATTTTCTCATTGACATTAACTGCACTTATTTTTTCAAAGACAGTGTAGTCGCCTTCAGCTTCAGGCACTTAGGTGTGTAATTGCTCAGACAGAATCTCCCCAACAACCTAAGGGACTGTGTATGTATGTGTGTATGTGTGTGTGTGTGTATGTATGTGTGTGTGTGTGTGTGTGTGTCTGAACCTTGTGTCCGAAGTACAACCATTTCTCGGGACATCCTCCGATGTAGTGCGGCTCCCTGGGCATCTCCAACACAGACGCAGTCTTTCTCTTGCACACATATCCATGGAGATCGCTGCATTTATTAGTCGACCACTTTCCTGCAACATGCCACAAAAACCTCCAAATATTCTACCATGTGTACACAGAACATGTATCAATGTGGGATTCTGCATGTGTTTACCTGTTGAAGAGGACATGGTGAAACACAACTCATTTCTCCTCCGGCTATCAACAGCAACCCCTTCAGCCCAGTTCTGAAAGTCTACATTTGTCTTGTCACTCCACCTGCAAACAGATGCACAGATACTTTGTTGGCGTCCTAGCAGATGTTCTGATCTTCATGAAACTGAACAAGAACTTGTACAATAGTTTCTTTTATCGCCCAATATTGTAGCAACAATCTACAAAATGTGAAAAATGCAAGAAAAATTATTTTGGAATCAAATACTAGTCTAGATGACTTGATGATTTAAGAGAGGGTCTGTTCCTCAGCTTTTACAGAGCAGGGCTGGTATTAAACTGACGTCTGCTTGCGGATGAAAACTTGTGAACATGCACAGGAATAGTGGTATCGACTAGATTTATGCCGAATCCTGCCAAGGATATTTTCCTGCAGTGGGCAGAATTTAAATTATGGATGTTTTAACTGACTTCAGACACATATATGAATATTCTGAAGCTTTTAATTTTCTCTTACATCCGCCAAGGAGGTTGTCTCCACCTCTATCAGTTTGTTTGTTGGCTTGCATGTTTATTTGCATGTGGATTTCCTCAAAATTTAGTGGAAGGACGTTGTACAGGTCAGGAAAGAACAGTGGGGGGATAAAATACTTTTTTTTCACTTTCTCAAACAACGTGAGGGTGTTTTTCAACATTTTCATTGATCTTTTTGAACAGCATGTCACCGTCTGCAACAGGATCAGCAAGAAATTGTTTAACAAGCTCCTGAATGTACTCACATGACCTCCTCTCCTGGCTGCCCAACGGACAGGCCGATCCACCACTCATTCGGGCCCAGGGAGAGCTGAATGAAAGAGAGAGAGAGAAGGATGGAAAAACTATACTTTTACCCTCCTACTTTTATCCTCTCCTCACTGGGCTGGACGTTTTTCTCAGTGCCTCTCTGACATGAGCGGCCATTCAGGCGCTCTCCTTGGCAAGTGCCTGGGCGTCTTTCATCGCCTCGTTTTGTTCCCTTTATCCCTCACAAGCCTCCACACCACAAGAGATTTCTTTACTCGGGTCCAAAAGGCTTCGGCCAAACAATCGGCCTTTTTCTCGCTCCCTGTGTGCAAAGGCGCTCGAGCATGAACGTGTCAACATATGAGGAACGCTTCAGCTTTTCAGTGCGCGTCTGTAAACACTTGAGGTTGTATGAGGGATGAGTGTTCACACTTGTTCAGTTGTGTTCACATTTGTTCAAGCACGTGTACATTTCTTTGGCTCTGCACTTAGAGATAATACTATGCTTTAACATGAGCCAAGACTGACTTTTAACATTTTTTTAAATTTGTTAATAAGTTGTACTGTCCTGTTAATTGAAGAAGTTATTGATATGAAAAAATATATTTTCAAATAGTTTGCTTTACAGATAATCATGTTAGACACACTTGTACTGTACAAACATATAAGTTTTTATCATGGGTCATATTCATCACTTTCTCCGGCGTAGTTATTCTGAAGAAATGGATGCTGCCACATGTGTGTGCTCTGTGTGCATCACGTTCTCTTATCACCAGATTCTCATTTGTATTTCACTTTGAATTTGACTTAACTGCACAAAATGATTCTTTAAACAGCAAAGATAGCCAGACTGAATAGAATAGAATAATGACAACACTGAATTTCCGGCAGTCTGTGTACAGTATATGAGTAGCGGCGGTAACACACCCGCCGCAAGCGTTCCTTTACGAAGTGCTGCTCCTCTCTGGAGTGAATGGACAGAAGGTAGGATCCCATCATCTGGCAGGCGAGAGACACAGTGTCCCAGTCAAACGGCTGCTTCGCCAGCAGGTACTCAGCTCCGCGGTAAAACACCCAGGGCTCGCTCTCTGTGGCGGAGCACGGACGACAGTCTTAAAACAGGACCCTTCTTTTATTCATAGAATAAGAACACATATAATAATGATACAGTAATGAATTGATGTTAGGACCGGTGCTGTCTCCCATTCAATGATGCCCTTGCACTGTTAAAAAAATGATGTAATTTTTAAGTTAAATCAGAGCGTAACTATAATTACTGCATCCCTATCTGTACAGATTAATTTAACATATGTAGAAGACTGAAGGAATATAACTAAAGATATTGAGTCTCCACGTGGTTGGTTTTTTAGACACTAAGGTCATATTTTTCCTGGCTTGCACTGCTTCATACACTTTAACCGAGTGCAAAGTTTGTGTCTGTCGAAAGCAAAAAAGGTTTTATACTCACCCTCGGTGTACCAGTAGGGTTTTTTCAGTTTTTCACCTGCGACATAGATCAGAGTTTAGTGAAATCCTATGAGAAGAATCTGGTGTTGATCGTGTTAAGCCAGTGTGGACAGAAAAGATAGTGATGCTGTTCACCTCTGGGCAACTTGCAGACCCACTCATGTTTGGTATCACAGGGCTGCGGCGTCAGAGTGTTGGTCAGGTCACTGTACACGGCACAGTCCCTCCTGTCATCCTCCTCGTTCTTGTCCTCTATGAAGGACGTCACCACCCGCGCGAAAAAACAGACACAAGACAAAATCCTGTAATGGATGAATCTGAATTTAAATGAGGGTAAATGAGACACAGTAGTGGACTTGACTGTGGGCTTACTAGGGAGCCGTCGGACCACTCCCAGGCTCCGGGATATTCAGGGTCTCTCTTGTTTAAACCCACCCAGAACCAGCGACCCTGCATTCTGAAAAGAGCGGAGCAGAAGAAAAATCACACTGCAACACAAGTCCATCTGAGCAAGTATTTCAGATTAATAAATACATTTTATACTTTTATCTTGTTGTACTTGGACCAGCATGGACAATCTTATAACTTCATAGGTAATTGTTTAGGTGACATAGTGTAAACCGTCAATTTTCTATAAATTACAAAGAATAATAATAATAACTTTCATTTATATAATGCCTGTAAAGGTACAAAAAGCTGATTTATAAAGTGAGGAAATGAAAATGAAAAAAAACAAAGCAAGGATTGAAAACAATAGTAGAAATGCTAGCTGGGGAAAAACTAGTGGTCAAAAGCCTACTACTAGTCATTAAGAAGTTTTTCAAAAGTGACCCTTTCCCCTGTGATGTAAAAATGGATATGTTAAATCTTATTATCTCAGCCTATACACATAAGTTACAAAGCTTCAAAGTCGTGTTTTCCCTGTAGAAACATAATCATCTGTGACAGATAACAAAACAATAAATTCTGTTCTCACTGAAAAGAAAACGTCTCAACCGATGCATTCATCAGTTCACATAACATTCCTGCATTGACGAGGCCCAGAGGGCTGTACCAACCCTTCAAACATGGTACTGAGCAGCTGCTTAACAAACACCTGCTCCTCATAGTGGTAGAAACTGGCGAGCTGAGCCCCGAGGGCCTGGCAGAAGAAGTCTGCTTCCACCCACGAGCGTTTCATCAGGACCTTCTCGTCATGGAACACCTAGAGGAGCAAACGCACGCTGTCATTTAGTACTTATCACACTGAGGTTTGATCACGTCATAATTCTTCCAGTAAGTTTGCTTTTAATTTGTTATTTGATGGTATAAAACAGGAAGAAACGTTATGAATGACAGCTGAGACTGACTCTTGATCGGACAAGCACATGCAGATGAAACCGCAATACCAGGGCTCCGCCCCTCGATCACTACTGCGCAGAATCTGTCTCCTAATTACATATTTGACAGAATGTTTGAATTACGGAAATTTTAGCTTCATTTCTGGACAGTGGGAGGAAGTGGAGACACACATCCGTTTTTATATTCACTCTATGGTGTAATCTAAGTAACTTCCCCACACACAAGCTGATTTAAAAACAGATTTTGGTGAGAGGACGAATCTGAAACGTGACTCACGACAGAGAGGAGCAGAGAGAAAAAATGATGCAACCTTAAAACAGTCGAGGAGCCCAGACTGTGATTCCCACCCTGGAGGACAGGGGGCGTGAGCATCAATGTGGTGCTCTGGCAGCTGGAGATCGTGGTAACTGCTCACACTCTGCTTGCACACCGACAAGGCTTTGAAGGACTTGCAGTCTTTCACCTCCCAGTGTCCCAGAGCAGGTCCGCCTGACATCGCAACACAGCCACTGCTGCTGGCTGGGGACAGGAACACGGAAAGAAGGAGGGTAAACACACATGGTTTTGATTTGCAAAGACATTTTATTCAAAAACAGGCTACCTGGCTGGTGTTTGTTCCAGTTTGTGAAGGTGAGAGGAAAAGAGGAACTGTTGTGAAGAAGCCAGCTGTACTCTCCTGTCTCCTTGTGATCCATGAGGCCGATCCAGTAATACAAGCTACTGTTAGCTCCTCTCTCACTCAGCAAACTGTTGACAAACGCCTGCTCGAACCTGCCGACGTGACGAGGAGGACGGGTGATGAGACTCTTTGTTGCTGCAAACTAATTTATTGTCATGAGTCAAACTAATAAATCATTTACTCAATGAATCACCTGTTTTCCACAGTTAGAAGAGGGGCCTTGCAGTAATATCCCATCTGTGCATCTTCACAGCTCTGCTCATGGCTCGTCACCATGTAGCAGGAGTGACCATGTCGCTTCCAGCCCTGAAAAAAAAAAAGTAATAATACAATAATGAAACAACTTCATATATGTTGTATTTATAAAGTTGTTGCAGTCTTGTTCTATAATGTACAAGTCGGTCTGAGCTCAGAATGAATCAATGAGCTGCAGATCTGTGGTCGACCACAAACAAATCCACATATGGACACTGGAGAAGAGTTAAAATATGTTTGATTCATCGTGAAACTGTAGCAGCTCAGCGGACGTCACCTTTGTATGTGGCCCAGTAAGCATTTACGTTCACATAGCAAAAAGAATCGTCTCAGACCACCTCCGAATATGGTCGGAGTGATCAGATCTCAGGACATATTTGAACTTAGCTGAACGCTTGTGATCAGATCACTCAGGGCGGATGTTTACACCAGGTCTGCATGGGATCTAAAATGTGTGTGTATGGCACTGACAGTATTGCATTGGCAGTGTCAGTTAACTATGATACAGGCTCCTACAGGCCACTTATTCTGCAGAGTATCTTGATTTAATAATTTAGAGTTGACTTTATTCTGAAAACCCAATGTGCTCACACTTGAGGCAGGAAAACTGAGATAAAAGTTGTACAACTGCAGTGGATGAGAATTTCAATATTTATCTTTCCATGAGCCAAATTAATATTTAAGTTTCAATTTTGCCCTGATGATGGCGCTATGAGAGAGGGTATTAGAATGAATCCTCTCAGACTGTCTGTATTAGCACATCTGCAGCAACAACAGTTTCACATGAATCCAAAAGAGGAGAGACGAAGTCACAGATAACCAGACGTTAGAAATCCAACCTCTCGTCTTCAATAATTAATGTATTTAACAATCTGTCCGATCACCGTTGAGAAATCTTTGTCTGGAGCAAAGTGACTGAGAGTGACATCCACAGAGCCACACCGCTTAAAATAAATATTGAGTTTGTATTTCAAAGAACTTAAAAGTGTCCTTTTGGGATCAGTTCCAAAAATTTGAGAGTAATGTTGACTCTACAATAGAAAATTGTCAAATCCACCCTCGCCTGTGTTGGGTGGTGTGGTCGCCCATCTACCCCCCGTCCTCTCCGTACTTGGGGTTCAGAGGCCAACACTAACATTTACTTAGTTACAATTCAAGTCTTTCTCTAAAACTGGGGTGTGAAATCCATTTGTCCTGCTGACAGAGACATTTTAACAACAAGTGAACCATTCCACATCGTCAACTTGCACTGAGCGATCATACAACACAGACACTATCGAGACTAAAGAGAAAAATATAGCTTTGTTTGATAAAAACACAAGAGACTGCTCGAGCATGTCCACTCATATTGTGCCTTCAGGGCCATATTTTTGACTCATGTTCCAGAGAGGTAGCCCGATGACTCAGGGGTCTGATATTCTTGTAAACAGAGTCAAGGAGCAACATGAATGCCAGACAATACGTCAGCAGTCGAGTGAATCAGCTTATTGTGCTTCTGAAGGGGGGGCAACAAGCTCAGAAGTTGAGCTGCAGCAGGCGTGTGGCTCCTCCTGGTGCACGTCCTGCTCTGTATGGAGCTATTGTAACGCAGCTCGGCACGTCATCCCTGCATTTTTCTCCCTCAGAACATGGACACAGAATTAAAATGTCAACAAATCAGATTTTCTTGCAAATCATTCAGTAATGTGAGGAGCTGAAAGGGACATTTTCACAGTGTGAGAGCAACACACTCTGTTTTCATGCAAGTGGGGAGACACAAGAATATACAGGTGCGCCAAAGAGGTAATGTTTTTGTTTTTGTTTGTATGGAAAAACTAATGGATGGATCACCATGAAACTTGGTGGAAGGATGTTATATAGGTCGGGATGATTTACATTTTGGTGTTTTTATAACTTCCTTTAACACTGTGAGGCGTTTTTTTTACATTTTTATTGATCTCTCAGAGAATAATTCATGAATCTTGATGAAAAGTCAGGCATGTTAAAGGGGCTGATATTTATTTATAGGTTTGTGCAGTTCGGTGCTGGGCCTTGGCAGAGATTTGCATCTTGTGCTTGTAGATGTTACCTTTGCTCTTTAATGTACCACATTGTGGTTAAAGTCTTATCAGGTGACAATTGAGTAAATTTTTAAGTCTTATTATGAGAAAGGTTGTTTATTAATCAAGGTTGGAATACTGTACAGTACCAGTGTAACTGGGGGTTTCCTCTTTTTGCTCAAAGGCACTTTAGCCAATGGATCAAAAAAAAAGTGCATTTGTGCTCCTACCTCAGGACAATCCTCATCCCAGGATCCAGAGGGACGACCTGGATTCTGGCTCTTTCTTCTGCACACAGCCGGCAGTCGCTCATCACATGATGCTAAGAGCCAGGTACCTTCCTGTGAAAGGAGAGCAACCGCTTACAAACAATGAAAAAACATCGGAGCTGTTACAATCTGATCATGAGCTTCAAGATAACGTGAGGTTTCCCACCTTCCTGTCTGCTTTGGCACAGAGCGTTGCGTCCGTCAGGTTGTGAGGAGGGTGATACTGATGCCAGAGAGTGAGAGTCACCGGTGAGCCATCAGACCACTCTACAGTCGGCGATGATGCCCTCTTCCGAAGACCGATCCACACCTTCGTACCGTTCCCAGAAACTGAGAAACACGGAGATACGCACACAAAATGGCATTCAAATCACAAATATAGTGCTGATATATCCCAACAGTGTCTTTGTCAACCAGAAAATCATGTATCTGTTTTGCACGATGCTCCTTACAGTTAGCCAGCAGCTTCAGCAGCACCTCCACCTCAGACAGTGTGTTGAGGCTGGTGAGGTTAGCGCCCTGGGAGCTACAGGCCCGGGTGGATTCCTCCCAGCTTCCTGCCTCTGATTCTGACAGGACTCTGTAGCAGAAGCCATTATGAGGCCACCAGCCATTTGCACACTCTGTATGGACATACTGCCAATTCTCTGTGAGAGGAAGAAGAACCAGGAGAGGAGAGGAGGAGAAATCAGAAGAGTACAGACCAAAATAACAACACACATTCACAGCAGACATTGTTTGGTCTCGCCCGCCGACGGCGCTGCAAAGAGACGGGTCAGAAGTTCATTTCCCAGGTGCAGTGCAGCTGTTCAGCCCACGAGCTACAAGAGCTAAAAAAAAAAAAAGTATCCAGCACAATGTGCACTCTGACGGATAATTTACCCCTGACACAGTCAAGACACCTGTGAAGATGAAGGGGAGCAGTTTGCATGTCAAGTGTTAATGTGTGTCTGAGTGTGTGTGTGTGTGTGTGTGTGTGTGTGTGTGTG